CTGAACCGCCGAGCCCAGCGCTGCCGGGGCTCTGAACCGCCGAGCCCTGGCACAAATTAAGCACTGGGTGCACACTTGTAGACATGTCTTGCACACTCATTTGTGTGCCTATATTGCCAGAAGATCTGCCCCTAAGCATACATGACCACAGTCCATGGACCACAGAGAAACACTCAGCAAAGGGGAATCAAAACACAGATGGAAACTCCATTTGAGAATATCACCCTCTCTCGTTTGATTGCTGGATCTGCCCTCATTTACTGTTGCCCATGGCCTTGGCTCCTCCAGCCCCTGATAGGTTAATACACCACTGCCCCAGAGCTCTCTCTCTCCAGTGGATGTTGCTGCCGGGATAGCAGGTGAGTGGCTTTCTCTAAAGGACAATGGGTAGATGAGCCCCTGGGTGAATTAGCTGAACGCCCATGCCATCTTCCCTGCCCGTGGATGGGGCAGCCAAACCCTTTGTGAGACAAGGACAGCCTGCACAGAGCGACCCGCTTAGACCCTGAAGTGGAGTCTGTGGGATACTGGTAGGGTGACCAGACAGCAAGTGTGAAAAATCGGGACGGGGGTGGGGGGTAATAGGCGCCTATATAAGACAAAGCCCCAAATATCAGGACTGTCCCTATAAAATCGGGACATCTGGTCACCCTACTGGTGTAACTCGTGATCTCTGTGTCCCCACCCCCCATACTGCGGCTAGGGCACATACAGAGGTTTATGCAGCTGCCACCAAACTCACAGATCTGGACCGTTAACTCAAGCAGCGGCTTTCAGATCCAGAGAGCCTGGGCTCATCCTTGCAGGGGTGTTGTCACATCGGTGACAGCAGGGGTGAGAGCGAGGGGAACCAGTTGAGACTCAGGGAGCAGATGGAGGAAACGGGGGGAAGAGAAGCATCCAAGGGGATGGGGAGACAGCTGGCGGTTATGGATCAGAGAGGCAAGATGTTGAGAGAAAGTTGGACATGCTGGGTAGAATCCCCAAAGGCAGGACAAAGGAACACCAGTGCTGATGCTTTTAAAAACCACAGGGTCTGGGGGGTTCCAGCGGGGAGACTCTTAAAACCCACACAAGACTTTGGAGGCAGGAGAGGGGAAGAGATGGGCGTGCTCTCGGAGCAGAGAGGGCCCAGTTAACTGCAGGACCAAAGCAAGTGACCTGGGGAGAGCGAGAGGGCTCTAGGGTTGGGAATGCAATCCAGGCGCTGTAGGAGAAGGACCCTGAACACCTCCCACAAGGGCCCTGACTCCAGCCTGAAGAATGCTCTGGAGTGTTCCGGAAACTGAGGGAGGGAAATGCATGTAGGGTTTATTTGTGTATAGCCCTATGTATTTCTCATGCAATTAAAAAGCAATGGTGGTTTAGAATTCCGTGCAAAGTGTGTGTGTGTGTGTGTGTGTGTGTGTGTGTTCCACCCACCCTGTGCCCTTGCAGAGTTAACCTGTGGACCCAGAACACCATACAGCTGGGCTTTTGGGACAGGCTGTGCTTAAACTGTGGAGAAGCCTGAGGGGTCAGCATTTGTCCCAGTGTCTAGGTTGTCAGATTGCGGGGGGCTAAGCTCTCAGGTGCCTGATAGAGGATCTGCACCCCAAGAGTGTACCTAGGGACCCCAAGACAGGGACAGTGCCTGGACTCTGTTCAGACTCTGGGGGCTCGGAGAGGTGGGTGCAGTCTGGTGGGTACCCAGGAGGTGTTCAACTAGATCTGTGACAGGGGCTTATTTGGGCTTCAAAAAAAGGCTGGTAGGGAGCTGTGCAAACTCCAGCTGTGATCGCTGCTTACTTTGGCAAACAGAGCGAGGTCTCCAGTAACAGGTTGGATTTACTTGTAGGTTATTGTTCTCAGCTTTACAAGGAAGGGGGAGGCTGGCACAGGGGACACTCTGTAGTTCCTTCCAGCTTTAATCAGTTCAACAGGAAAAATGTGAACCCCCTCCCTCTGTGTGCAATGGGTCCCTGTGGTCGGAATAGACACTGGCACCACCAGAATTTCTAATCACGTGACTCTGGTCTGAGCAAGAGGTGGGGAGGTAATCTCTAACGTATGGGCCCGGAGTAGCATGCAAGGCCAGGCAAACACATCAAAAGCATTTAGCCCAGGGGAGTCAGACAATGTAACACAAGGAGCTGGAGCCGGTTCAAATGCATTGTTACAATGCAGCCTAAAAAAACCAGCTAAAAATAGCAGCAACCTCAAAATAAGCAAATCACCTTCCAGCCAGTGCGGACGCTGGGCAGGGAAGAGGGACAGGGCCTCCGAGAGCGGGTCGGGCCCCGGTGAAAAAAAAATTTCAGGCCCCCCAGCAAGGGCGGACTGGCTAAACAGGGCCGACGAAGCCGGGCCCCGGGCCCCCTTCCAGACCGCCGGGCCCCGGTAATTTGTACCAGCTTCCCCCCTCTCTTGTCGGCCCTGAAGAGGGAGGGGGGGGGGAAATGTTCAGAACAGGAGGCAAGGTCACACAGAGCAAGGGGTGTCCTCACACCACATCCACAGCCAGCAATCAGGGACTATGGGAAAATGAACACAAGGTTCAGAATTGGATCGTGCAGCTTAGCGCTACAGAACAACAGAGCGATCGGAACTGAATCAGTGGGCGCATCCCTACAGCGGGCAGCCGATCCACAGGCTGCCACCCGGCCAAGGAAGGGCAGAGGGAGAGGGACAACAGGGCAATGACAGCCAAGAGTCAGATAGCCGTGTGTGTGTGTGTGTGTGTGTGTGTGTGTGTGTGTGTGTGTCGGAATAAGCCCTCGGATGCAATAAAGAAGGCATTTAAGATAAGTTAATGGCTCCGCTTCATTTGTAAAACAGATCTGCCATTTAAGAAGGTCTCTACTGTAAAACAACGAACCCGTCGGCCATCTTAGGGAGTAGCTAGCAGGATGCACATTCTGAAGCTCACAGAAGTTAAGCCCCAACAGCTGACCAGCTGCCCCCCCCCCAAACACACACATCTGCGAGTTCTTCAGCGGATGACAGTGATACGTGTTCCCTTCAATTCACCTTAACAGAATAAACATACATCTACCTGCCTGGCTGCCAATCCAGCGTCAACTATGCAGCTAAATGTCCCCCTTTCTCTGCAGAGAAAATCCTCAGAAATGACCATCTCACATGTAGCCCCCGTAAAGCGTTCACGCTTTCAGAGCCTCCCCCAAACACTAACATCAGAGCCACTCCTCCAGCCCTTCGGCGAGACCCAGGCAATTAATGAGTGAGGACGGCAGCATCTGATCCCTGGGATTCAGCCAAACATATTCTCCTCGCTGCAGTTTTCAGCCCAAAAGCGAGTTCAGGAGAAACACGCCGCGGCCTTGGTGTAATATAATCTCACGGTCTCAGTCCAGAGCTCGGTGAACAGGTGTTCACGTCACAGAATCACCACGACCATCGGCACTAACTTGTCCCCTTTTCTCAGCAGAGACATGCAGGCCTGGCCGGAGCCCAAACTCCCTTGTCCCCTCCAGCTCAAGCCGAGCTACCTTGTCAGGGAAGCGTGCTTTGTCGCTGCCCTTCTGTGCATGAAGAGAAGACTCCGGGGCTAGCAATGGGGCAACTTGAAATAAATGAAAGGCTAAAGTCAGCACAGAGCACATCTCCACGGGACCGTCTGGGCTAAGCAACGTTACCCCTCTGCCTGGCACAGATCGAAGATTGTTACCTGTATTGCTCCAAATCCAGCTTATTTCCCAGCAGGAGGATGGGATAATCGTGCTGAATGCCTTTCGCGTGGAGGGAAATGGTATCCAGGTACTGCTGGCAACCTTCAAAGCTCCTTTTGTTGTCAATGCTGTAGACGACCATGAAGGCATTGGCCCAGTTGAGATAGCGTTCGCAGTTCACCGGTACGTCCTAGCACAGTAACACAGGACAGCATTATCATAGGCCCCTGGTGCCACTATCGGAGCCCGTCTGGGGGCTCTCGGGCTTTGTACATTGTTTCAAAACTAAGCCTATTTCAAAAGGCCGTTTGAGAGCGGACTTGGCTTGGCATGAAAAAGTTCCTTGTGCAACGAATCAATGATATTAAACAGCTCACGCTGCCCCGAATCAGAGCAATCAAAAGCACGCAGTGGCGGCGTCAGGTTTTCGCTCGGGCAGGCTTCCAGGAAGACGGCCTTTTGCATTGATTCGTTTAATCGGTGGGTTTTCTTTGTAACAAAGAAATTCTGTTTGTGGCAGGGAGAGCCGGTGGGAAGGCCTTCTGGGATGGACTGGCAAACTCCCGGGGGCCTGTCCAAAGCCCAGTGGAAGGCAGTGGAAATCTTTCCATTGACTCCAGTGGGCACTGGTGGGTCACTCTCGCCAGGCCCCCTTTCCCTGGCGACACCAGCAGCAGGAAGGAGGCTGGGATCAGAGCCCCTGCCCCACTTGCGTGTCACCTGTACCCAGACACGCCAGCTGGTCTCGGTTACATATAGAATCTGGAGTTACTCCCTGAGCTACAAACAATAAAATATATACACACAAGTGAGTCCCTGTCTGGGTCACGCTGCAGAGACATCGCTGACGCATTGTACAAGTGAAGCAGCTAGCCTGGACTTGTAACGAACGACGGCAGCGCCTGCCCTGGGGGCAGCGGGAGCTTGGGGAGGGGTCACTTCAGTGCGGGATGGAGATCAGCACCTGGGCCAAAGCTCTGTCAGTTCTCGATGGGACAAGCAGCCCCAGTGGTACTACGGCCCTTTGAGGCTGGAGGTTTTTCCAAGGAGCCTCAGAAAGTTGGGTGTCTAGCTCCCCTTGCACTGGGTTCCTTTAGCTATCTCACCGTTGTTACTTACAATGCTCTCCTAGGCAACAGATACCAACCCTCTACCCCAAGCAGAGTTTTCACCCCAGCTGGGAAGAAGAACCAGAGACTTAATGAAATCACTAGGGACCTTGCTATAACACTCAATTTTATGTGGAAGGGGCTCAGATACCACAGTGACAGGCAGCAGGCTAAAACCCTACCCTCGATTAGCTTGGGGACAAATACCTGATTCGCGTCGTCAGCTACCTGGAGCTCCGACCTCTCTGCTTGCTCCTTTTCTCTCGAATGACGAGGTCGACATTCTGGATGAAATTGGCCCCTGTGCAGCAGGTCAGAACTGGGCCTACGCACTGAGGCGCTCTGGACAGATGCCTTGTTCTGGCCTCTGCACAGGGGCATAGTTCATCTCTGGTGAAATGTGACACTTCACAGCAAACCACGCAGAGCCCGTTTCCCCATTCATTTCACAGTCACTGCCCCGTTCTATTGAGAACCCTGCTGCATGCTCCACGGGGAGCAGGAACCTGCCATTACCTGGTCAGCCGTGTCCATCACTTTCATCAGCACTGGCTGCTGGTCCACAGTTTCTTCTGACGTGTAGGTGTCCTCTGCAATAGAGATGAGCTCTTGTGAGCGGGGAGCCGGTGGGACGACAGCCTTTCACATTCTGGGCTACACTCTCCATGAAGGCTGAGCCCCGGGTATTTACATCTGCCACTCAATGGAAGTGGAGACATAGGCGCCGACTCCGTGGGTGCTCCGGGGCTCAAGCACCCACGGAAAACCAGTAGTGGGTGCTCAGCACTCACCAGCCACAGCTGTTCGGCGGTACCACCGATCAGCTGTTTGGCGGCTGTGGAAGGTGTTTGGGGGAGGGCGGAGAGCAGCGAGTAGCAGTTGGGGGAGGGCCTCGGGGGAGGGGTTGGAGCAGGAAGAGGAGGAGCAAGGGCGGGGCTTTGGGGGAGGGGGCGGAGTAGGGGTGGGGCCTCAGGGCGGAGTCGGGGTGGAGCACCCCTGGGGGAAAATAAAAGTCAGCGCCTAGTCCCTCGTTCTGGCCCCTGAAGAACAGCACTGATCACAAGGCTCTAGCCACTAGGTTTGCTAGCAGTGGGTGAATCGGAAAGGCAAAACCAAGCCATTATTCCTCACTGCTTAGCACACCTCCCACACTTTCCATCGTTTTAAGCTCTACTAAGAAGCGTCAGTGTTGAGCTTAGCCATATAATTTGACTAGACCACGGTTATGCCTGTACGCCTTGCTATTATTTCATATCTGCATTACAGTAGTGCCGAGAGGCCCTACTCAGACCCGAAGGCCCACTGTGCTAGGTTCTGTACAAACGTGTAGAAGGACATTGTCCCAGGCCCAAAGAGCGTACCCTCCAAGACAGGTGGCACGTGAAGGATGCAGCAGAGAGAGACACAATGAAATCAATACAGTTGTTACCTCGAGATACATTTGCAATGTGTTTATTATTACAAAGAGACAAAAGAAGGGCCAATTATTCCCATCGGCCCCTGAAGCTGGTTGATTGGCTAGTTTCTGACGGGGCTTATGGCAGAAGTGAGTCTGGAAAACAGAGCTATTTGGACAGTTGTCTGATTGGAGATGGAAACATCCCCCATTTTCCTAGAGTCTTGGGAAACGATCAACTCTAATTGCTTGTTGGTATTTATAAAGTGCTGACCGGACTGATCTGGTCACAAGAGCAAAGTCACCCAGCTGTAATGCCACTGAAGGCAATGGCAGTTACTCCAGGGATGGTTTTGGCCCACAGATGTTACTGACACTAGTTTCCCTGTAAAGAACACTGGGCCAGATCCTCCGGCACATACGGACACTTTGTGCCGCACCGTGGGTGGATGCTGGCTGTAGAACCTGGTCCCACAAGGGTCATCCCAGTTCAAAATGGACCCTTTGGTGGCTCAGAGCCAATCATAGACACATGCCTTCAACACGCCCTCCCTGCTGCTGTCATGTGGGCTGTGACCAGAGGAAAGAGGACACGTCTGGATGTCCCCATCTTGTGCCAATCCCTGACTGGTTTCAGCCCCATGAGCTGGTGAAAATTAGAGCAGCCCAGAGGCTGCTCCAGCCTGGTGCAGAGGGGCTGGCCCTGCATCTAGCAGCCCCAGGATCAAGGGGATGCAAAAGGGAGATTTCTATGCTCTTGTCTGAAGCCTTCACCCCCAGCATCTGCCTTCTCCTGTGAGCTCCTTGGTGATAGCCACGGATCCAACCCATTATTGGTACAACAGCCTCCAAGGAATCTCAGTGAGTTTCTCTCTCCACAGTCCTGTCTCAATGAGGCCTTTGGTGGCCAGCACCGCTGGCATCCCTCAGTCTCCTTTGTATCTGCGCAAAGCTCTCCATTGAGTCACCACTTCAGCCGCACAGGTGTCCTGAGCCCCCTTTCCCAGGTAAAACAAAGGCTGTATTTTCACACACACATCTGTGTTTGCACCCACAACCAACACATGTCACATTGGATGCGTACCTATGTAGCCTAGGCCAACCTGCATTTGCATATGCAAATCAGGTATCAGTGCACTCAGCTCACCCATTACTCTGAACAAGCCTTAAGATCTAATGTAGGCTATACTTCAAAATCCACAGAGCTCACAAGGACTTTCTACCTACCTACCTACCACCATAGTACCTATGGGCCATTGCATACTATACATGCATTCTATAGTTGGCTTCTCATAAGAATGGCCATACTGGGTCAGACCAAATGTCCATCTAGCCCAGTATCCTGTCTTCCAACAGTGGCCAATACCAGGTGCCCCAGAGGGAAGGAACAGAACAGGTAACAATCAAGTGATTCATCCCGTCTCCCATTCCCAGCTTCTGGCAAACAGAGGCCAGGGACTCCATCCCTGTCCATGCTGGCTAATAGCCATTGATGGACCTATCCTCCATGAACTTATGTAGTTCTTTTTTGAACCCTGTAATAGTCTTGGCCTTCACAACATCCTCTGGCAAAGTGTTCCACAGGTTGACTGTGCATTGTGTGAAGAAATACTTCATTTTGTTCATTTTAAACCTGCTGCCTATTAATTTCATTTGGTGACCCCCTCGTTCTTGAGTTATGAGAAGGAGTAAATAGCACTTCCTTATTTACTTTCTCCACACTGGTCATGATTTTATAGACCTCTATCATATCTCCCCTTAGTCGCCTCTTTTCCAAGCTGAAAAGTCCCAGTCTTATTAATCTCTCCTGATACGGAAGCCGTACCATACCCCTAATCATTTTGTTGCCCTTTTCTGAACCTTTTCCAATTCCAGTATATCTTTTTTGAGATGAGGCGACCACATCTGCACGCAGTATTCAAGATGTGAGTGTACCACGGATTTATATAGCGGCAATATGATATTTTCTGTTTTATTATCTATCCCTTTCCTAAGGGTTCCCCACATTCTGTTCGCTTTCTTGACTGCTGCTGCACATTGAGTGGCAATTTGAAGGTCATTTTTTCCACTGAATTCCACTAGTATGTTTTTACTTTTTTCTTTTGGCCACAATAGAACTCACTAGCTCCTCCACATTCAGAGCGTGATCCAGCTTCTATCAAAGTCAATTGAAAAAGTCCCTTGCTTTCACTGGGAACTTGGCTGGGCACTGTGTCAAGTGAAAATAACCTCCTGCTTCAGCTGTATCCTTCTGCTAAGTGGCCATCCCTCTTAAACCAAAAGTTGAATCTCCTTTTTAGGTTGAGTAAGAACCATCGTTTCCCCATAATCATAAACATTTCGACATATCTGCTAAACCTGGTTTAACAAACAAGTCTACAGTAGGAGAGTAGCACATAGGTCATGTTTTGCGGCTAAAACTTCAGCTGTCAAAATAAATCCTGTCATAAATGGTTCAGATCGGAACTGGAAAGAGTTTAACCCATTTCAGAATTAATGTGTTGCTTACTTGGCAATAGCAAGGGGTTTATGTAAGTGAATTCCGCTATAAATTCATCTGATGAACTTCCTCTCTGGCGCATTTATTAGAGGAATGACACATCTCTGGCACGGGGGCTGCAGTTCTCTGCAGGCACTTTGATCTTAACTTCACCTGGGTTACGAGTTCACATCTCAATTATCTTGATGAGTTCGGTTTTGAGAAATGAGAGCAAAGGAAAGAGGTTTGCATGCTGCTGTTTGCCAGGGCTGGAAGTTTCATGGCCCAGGACAAGACTGTTCCATGCAACAAAATATCAGCACACGCCACAAGGAAAGGGCAGAAAAGAAACATTCTGTTAAAAGAAGGGAGGAGAGCGAGTACTGTAGGATCTCCTCTAAATGAATCAGCCAGGAGAGTTCGCCCATTCTAGTTCCTCTTGCTAACTAACATTCAGACGTCTGTTAGCCGGCAGCCATAACATTCCTAGGCAGAGGTACTTGGTAGTAACTGTCACAGGACTTCATATGTGCACAGACAGAGGGTACTTCTACACAAACAGGGGTGCTAGAACAATATGTACAGTGGGGGTGCTGAGAGCCATTGAACCAAACTGTAAGCCCTGTGTATATGATGGAAACTACTCCAAACTGCGGCAGCAGCCCCACCACCCCTCGTTCCAAAAGGCCTGCAACATGGCCATGGCTGGCCTGGGACAGCTGACCTGGGCTCGCGAGGCTCAGGCTGAGAAGTAAACATCGCTGTGTAGATGCAGGATCCCAGAGCTCAGGCTCCAGCCCGATCCCAGATGTCTACATGGCAATTTTTCAGCCCTGGAGCCCGAGCCCCGCGAGCCCAGGTCAGCTGAGCCAGGCCAGTGGCGGGTTTTATCCTTGTGTAGACAGACCCAGGGAGTACTACAAGCTAATAGTCTGAGTGCAGGTGTAGACACCAGGAATTCCTGACACTTGCTCAGCAGCCTTGTCACCTAACCTTTCTGCCTTCATTTCTCCATCTGGAAAATGGGTCAATAATTTTCTTAACAAATCTGTGGCCACCTAACACCACAGTAGAGATGTCACTATGCTGTATGCCATCTCTTCTCAAAAATTCATGCCGACAGCAGGAATAAATTGCAAGTCTTTCTCCTCCAAACACCGATGCCACTCACACTTGAGCTATAGGGAAATCTCCTGTAACTGATAGCAATAGAGGGCATATGACACACAGTCAAGCAATTCTGATCCTATCCAGTACAGAGCAGTGGTACACACATACATACACACACACACACAGAGTAGCTGATTCTTTACAAAGCTTACTTGCCTACCTCATGGAGGAGTGGGAAAGCTAGTAGGCCTGATTTGCTATTGCCTTATACCAGTTTTGCTAACTTCATTGATTCCAGTAGCATTAAACTGGTGTGAAACTGGAGTAACACAGCAATGAATCCAGGTCAGTGTCTCCAAAGCCTTGTGACGGTTACCAGTGCTAAGTATTACAATATAGACAAGAGCTTCAGTATTTTTCTCCAAAAATCTAAAAAGCACAAATCAAGAACTCATCCATATATTTTCTTTCTTGGCCATCAGTAAAGGTAAAAAACACCAATTCAACTGGAAACCAAGGGTGTAAATTTCACAATGGACCTATGGCTCAAATGCACGTGTGCATATTCTGACAGGGGAGAGACTAGGTCAGCCGTCGCACAGGTATGTTCAGAAAAGGTTTGATCTGTAAGAAAAACAGAGCTATGCAGAATCAGGAGTCGGAGGCCTGATGGTGTTCTTGTCTGTTAACTTATGCTGCAATGGCTGCCCCTTTCTTGAGAGATGGGGAAGAAGAGATTACTTGTGAAATAACAATTATGAAAGTTCAGCAATTGCTACAACTACATATGTACAGTCATATGTTTGAGAGGCTTTAAAATATGGGAGATTTCTCTCTCTTCTCCCTTCTTTGAAAATGAGTTCCTGAACAAGGTCTGAGGAAAGGATTTTTAGGAATACAAGTTGCTGAGTTATTAGGTCTTTAGTGCATTCTTGGCTAATGGCCACAATAAATGATTTGCGGTTCTTTATAATGTCCTGGATTTGGGCCCATAAAAATAGTTGTTAATTACTCAAACAGAGATTCAGTGGAAAAAATGCCCAGAACATTTAACTGCAAAATATAGTTATCTCTGGACTTCTGCATCGGCTGCTCATTTCTGGGATATTAGTTTCCTACCAAAGTTAACACGTTCCCCAAATTGCTAGTTTGCAATTTCAGATGGAGCAGTGCACAGCTGAGACACTGAAACACACTATAGGCCACATCCAAAACCCATTGGGAATCTCTCCACTGACTTCTCCTGGCTTTGGAGCAGGCCTTAAGGGAAAAGAAAATAAATATGTTAGGAAGCTTTGTTTCTTTAAGCAATTATGCTGCCTCTCTTAAGGCCTGACCTAAACCCTTTGAAATCAATGGGAATCTTTCCATTAACTTTGACGGGCTTTGGATCACACACTTTTGTTCCAATGCAAACTCCTTTGCCCATGTGAAGAGGGCTCTGAGTGAGCACAGTCTCTAGCCACAGGACAGCTCAGAGGTCAGTGGATGTGACTCCTAATTTATTATGATAGTTCAGGCCCCAGATTTGCTCTCTTGGTTTTGTTACAGAGAATGTCCATTTCCATCTGTAATACTATCAGGTTTGTTCTAGGCTGGTTCTTTGAAGCCAAATTTTGCTCTATTCTTGTGTAGCTCATTAAAATGAATGAGTTGTTTTGGGTTTACACTCAGGTGCTTAGGGAGTGTTCAAAAGCCGATTGAACTCAATCTGAGCCTTTCCCTGGACGTCAGTGAGCTGCGGATGAGGTCCTTAAACATGGCTGGGGCAGATCAGGAACTGAAACATTTTTGAACATTTTCAACCGTTATGAATTATTGATAATCGTCATCATTTTTATCCCAAGAGTGCCAAGGCAATCGAGAACAGGGGCCCATTGTGCGAGAAGAGACTAGCAGCCAATCATACATTGACAGACAGATAGCGTTTGGGAGGGTGGCAAAGCCCCTTGATCGTATTGAAGGTGTTGGTGTTGTTTGAGCAATGTTGAGTGGCGTGTAGGGTGGCAGTATGTGTGAAGTTTGTTTGTGGAAGATCGGCAGGTGCAAAATTTGCTCTAATTCTTCCCCGCCTCCTTATATTGGTTTCTAAAGTTCATCTCATTCTTAATAGAAGAGAGGGCAAGGAGCATAAAACAAATTCTCAATTAATAACTCCAAACTCATGATTGGATCCACTCTACAATAACAAGCCAATGTGTATGCGTGTGATAGGGTATAAGCAGCCTGGTGAGGAAATAGAATACACTATCCAGATTTCAAGAGATTATTCATACACTGCAGATAATAAAGGAAAAATGATGTGAAGGGTATAAACCCTCATGCTTCAGGGCAACTATAACTAATGGGGGTCAGGAGGAAACTTTCCCTATGGAGAGGTTATCCCATCACTGTCTACTCCACAGTCTCAGACCAGCCCCTGGGAAACGTCCTGTCTTCCTCACAGACAAGATTTACCCATATTGATGAGAGCTCCATTGTGCCAGAGGAGCTAATAGAATAGACTAGATCATGTGCTCCTTATTTGGTTAAGGAAAAAGGAATTATTCCTGTTCTCTACTTGTCATTTCGCCATATGCAGCTCCTTTGCTACTGGTTCTCTCAACCCCAGGCACATTCCAGCTGGTATCTTGTTTTACAAGTCACATAAATACACTCCTGTGTCGGACAGCCTATCAAGGGAACAGGACCAGGCTGAGAGAGGCTAGATGACAGAAATCACAACTCTTGTCCCAGGAAGTTGACAAGAAAGGAAAACGGAATCTGTCATTACAGACGGCAGAGATAAGAAAAACAGCTTCCATAGTTCTGGAGGCAGCACTGGATGACTAGTCCGATTAATAACTCTATAGGACAAGATGATTTCAGAAATATTCCCTCTGCAGTCTTCCTCAGATAAACTTCCCAGTGAAAGCGGTGGGAATTTGGTTCTGAGCAAGGACTGTGGGATTTTGCCCACCATTTGAGAGCCTTTTTTTCTTATACTCATGTTCATCAGCAGGGGCCGCCGGGGATATGTGCCCCCGTTACAAAGTGATCTTTCACAAAGGGGGAAAATTCCCCCTGCGTGGCAGGTCAGCACAAGGACCATGCACCGTTTAAGTCCCTACCTCCCACCCCAACCCTGAGGAAAGAATAAAGGGACTTCTGCCGGTGAGAACTCCTAGAGAATCCCGGTTCCTACATGGAATTCCTCCACCCAGGGGAGAATGGGCAGAAGTTGTCTTATTTTTGGTTCCTTCTAAATCTGCATCCAAACGTCTGTGAATCAGGTACAGAGGACAGCTGAAAAATACATAGCTGCCTGGAGTTCATTGTGGTGGCATGGAAAGGCTTATGTGCCAGTGTTCGGCAGGACTGCACAGTGGCCAAGTCCTTATTCCTGCTGAACAAAGTTGTTTGAAAATTCATAAAAATTCATAACGGGGGAAAGACGGTTAGAGACACTAGCAAAGCAATGAGATAGAAAATAAAAGTTGGTGTTTTCCATGATTTCCACGAGCACTTAGAAATCCAATAAAGAGGCGGCTAATTTCATCAGCACACACCCTTAGCGATGACATTCGGAAGCACCGATGTAAAGTGCCTGGAAAATGAGATTTACATATGAGAAAAGTGGGTTTCAATCAGCATTTTTCAGTGTAATTAAGTTCTCGTGGTTTTATATTTCCCAAGCGTTTAGTTGTTTTCAAAGTACCGTACTTCCCCCGCCCCCCCCTTAAATGCCATATTTATGGAAAACCTAGACCTAGGAAAGAATTACTGTCACTTATAAAGGAAGAATGTTTTCTCATCTGCCAGTGTAGAAAGCCAGCTTGGTACCAGATGGCTAAAGAAAGCTGCAGAAACTAACTGCTTGGCTTTAAATCACAGCAATAGTAAGACAGACACACAAGTGTTCCAGGAAATGGCATGCAGACGACAACCAAGGGAAAAATAACTGCAAAGAAAATGTCTTACCCAAATTGGGATCATATTCACTTATAAACCTCTTGGTTAGAAACTTCACAGTCAGTGCTGTAAAAGGCGAAACAAGGTTTGTTTAGTCTCAGTTTTGTTCGTGTCTCTGCAACTCAGCTTCACACCAGTAGCAAGTAGCTCTTGCATCCGCGTGCAAAGGGAAACGGACAAACGCTCCCTTGAGAAACCGTTCATGGGCCCGTTTAGTTCGGCTCATGAAATTAAAACATCCCTACACCTATTCTTTCCCTCAGGGTGAGTCCCAGAGTTCCCATCTGTGGAGTGATACAAACTATTACACGGTCTATTTTTACACACTCATTTCACTTTTGCTGAGCTGCAGCACACTTTCAAAGGATCACTGATTAGATTTCACTAACACAATTCCCCTAGGAGTTTCTCAGAGATGGGATCTGAGCACAGAACTGGGACCAACAACTTCTACATTCTAATCCCACCGCTGACACTGACTAGCTGAGCCTGATGGAGACTGGCATAAATCCACCAGTCAATGGCACTGTAGCAACATCTGCCAGCTGAGGATCCGGCTCCAGGATTCCTTTCCTCCAGCGGCCCCACTGACAGGAAGATTTAGCCCAACGTTTCTCTTATCGCCAGGTGTCAAAACCAAACCAGTCCTAATTTATTACACCTTGCAACTGACCACAGCCCAGATAATGTCACTGGGCCCTCCTAGCCCCAGCCAGCTTGAACCAGACCGAGTTTAAAATGCACCGTAGGTACTGCCGGGAAAAGCACAGCATCATATGGCATGTCTGAGTTGGACGTTTGCTGTCCCAGGACATAGTCACAGGCCCTCCGTATAATCTGAGTGCAAAGCCATGGGGAGGCTTGGGGCAGAAGAAAGTCGTTTGCATTAACTAGAAATTATGGGATGGCTTTTCTCATGTTTATTTACTTTAGGCAACATTGTACAGACAGAAACATATGGCAGATGAGTGGCCGTGCTTTCCATGGGATAGCTGTGGTCATCGTGCACTTCTGATTGCTCCCCTGAACTCTGCCTACCAATCTAGCTCCACCAGGCCTTAGGTTACCCTTCCAAACCCTCCACCAGGCACCAGCTGGTTATTTTTTTAAAATCAATCTACTCCTTCTTCCTTCAAATGTGGAATTTCCTCCCCTGCCGCCCTCCAATTTCTCTGCTCCTTTGCCACTGGAGTCTGCAGATACTGACCCGCCATGTGACAGGGGCAAGGAAGTAAAGGCTGTGATTGGGCAATGCACTTAAACCCCTGGTTCGCCTTCCATCCCATCCCTATTCGGCAAAGCTCTTGAGGCGTGATCCTGCAATGCTGACGGGAATGGGAGCCGGAACATTGACTTCAAAGAGCACAGGCTCAAGCCCTTAAGCAGGTGCGGAGAGTTAAACATGTGCTTAAGCGCTCTGCTGAATGGCTGAACGGCAGCCTCTCCGCAACACTCCTGTGCCGCTCACAACTTTCTCGCCATGCGCGGTGCCGGCTGGGCAGTACTCAGTCTGCACTCGTAAGAGGTCGAGGGGCTGACATCTTGTGGCTGGAAATGGGACCTTTCCATCACTGGCGAGAAGGTGGCTCAGCTCCCAAACCTGGAGCTCAGAAAAGCTCTCCTGGGGCGTTTTCAGATGTGTTAGCTACAGTTCTTCTCCTCCCTCTCCATGGCCTGCATGGTCAGACCTGCAGTACGAAGGCCTCTGGCTTTATGGAGGTGGAGTTACACAAAACACACACCCAATCAAATTGTTGATAACTCTCTCAACCAGCTTTCCTGCTTGGTAGCCTACGTATTACCTGTGGGGCGGGTAATACAAAGGGTTTACTGGCATTCCTTTGAGACGCCCTCAGGGGTGAAAGTAAGTCCAGTGACTTACTGGTACGCTGGGGTCAGCTCTGACCCCCGGAAGGGGCGGGGCCTAGGGCAGAAGGGGCGGGGCTGAGGGAGTCAGAGCCAGCCCCAGCCCACCCTGTAAGGTAAGTGCCCCCCCCGGGGTAGCAGCAGCAGCCCGGGGCTCCGGGGGCTATTTAAAGAGCCCGGGGCTCCCCTGCTTCTACCGCCCTGGCCCTGTAAATAGCCGCGGGAGCCCCGGGGAAGCGGCGGGGCTCCAGCGGCTATTTAAAGGACCGGGGCGGCAGAGGCAGCTGGAGCCCCGGCCCTTTAAATAGCCCCTGGAGCCCCCCCGCTATCCCTGGGCTCTGGAGGCTATTTAAAGGGCCCGCAGCTCCCTGCTTCTACCGTCCCGGCCCTTTAAATAGCTGCAGGAGCCCTGGGGAAGCAGCGGGGCTCCCGCGGCTATTTAAAGGACCAGGGCGGTAGAAGCAGCGGGCGCCCCAGACTTTTAAAATAGCCCCCAGAGCCCCGCAGCCCTACCCCAGGGCTCCAGCAGTGGGGCTCTGGTGGCTGGGAGCCCCAGGCCCTTTAAATTGCCCCCTGGGGAAGCCGGGCCGCCCCGGTACGGCAAACCGGCTCTTGCCGGTACGCCGTACTGGGGCGTACCGGTTTACTTTCACCTCTGGACGCCCTCCATAACGCTCTCACAGCTCAGCCACTTGTGCGTAACACAGCTACCCCCAAACTACTGCACATCGTTTTATACCACGCTGCCATCCGTTATGGCAGAGAGTGTGACCAAGTACATAGGACACTGGCTGGCGCTCCGGAGACCTGGATCTAGTCCTGTCCTGGTGTGTGCTCTGCTGCGTGGCCTTAGACGTGTCATTTTCCCTTTCTGTGCATTAATTTCCCCATCTGTAGAGTGGGGAGAATGATACTTATCTCCTTTATAGAGCACTTTGCAATCTATGGACGCAGAGCACCATATAAAGGGAGGTAGATAACAGGGTTAGTATCATATAGTCTGTATAATATATGAAAGGAGAAAGGTGTATTATATATTGGGCACTTGGGACTGATCCTGCAGTCCTTACTCCCATAGTCGAAAATGATTTTTAGATTGTAAGCTGTATCGTCACTTAGCATGTGATTGTACCATGCCTCGCACCATCGAATGACAATCAAAATCAAAGGGTGTTTTGTCTGCGTAAGGAGAGCAGGACCCAGCCTGATATTGAGTAGATTCATTTTGCTGCTTGTTATGGGTTGAATTTGGTACCAGGCTAGTCTGTTAAGAGCAGCCACCTCTATACACGCTTTTCTCAAAGAATGCAAGAGACGTTTTAGCCAGGAAGCGGCAGCTAGTTGAGTGTCAAAATTCACACAAGGAGCATTGTGTTGATGCAGAAATTAGGTCGCTTGAATCAGTTCACTCAAAGAACAAAAGGAATGAATGAAAGTCTAAGGTCTTTGCAGTTCTTTGGGTTTGGGTGGAAGGTAGAGAGGATCAGATGTTAATCACAATTAGAACAGAGCAAAACATTTTCAGTGAATAGCAAAGTAGAGAAAAAATGCATTTTTCAGAATAATTTTTCTGAAATTATTTCCGCATTCAGGTCAAATTTGAAGAATAGTTTTGACTGAAAAAGAAAATCTGGAAAAGTTGAAGTGTTTTTTTCTGACCATTTTGAAACATTTCATTTCGACTTTTTGATTCAAAATGGCATTTTGTTTCGAAATTTGGGTCATTTAAAAAAAAAGGGGGGGGGGAACCACCCAAAACAAAACAACAAAGTGAATTGTTTTCAGGGGAAAACCCCTGTGACAATATCAGTTTCAGTTCAAATTGGACCCAAATTTATTATTCACTCAGTTCTAGTCAGAATTGTATAAATGCCAACATGAAGAAAATGCCAATCCAGAGGGAAGCAATTTCCCACTACAGATTCACCCAACTACAGATTCACCCCAGTATTTCTAGGAAACCTCTTCAGGAGCCATATCCTTTTTGTCTTGAGCATGTGTGTTGACTTCAGTGAGAATAATTGTAGGATGGTGGAACAGGCTTTGCTGGAAAATTGACTACATACTATAGAGCAGGGGTAGGCAACCTATGGCACGTGTGCCGAAGGCAGCACGTGAGCTGATTTTCAATGGCACTCACACTGCCCGGGTCCTGGCCACTGGTCCGGGGGTCTCTGCATTTTAATTTAATTTTAAATGAAGCATCTTAAACATTTTAAAAACCTTATTTACTTTACATACAACAATAGTTTAGTTATATATTACAGACTTATAGAAAGAGACCTTCTAAAAACGTTACAATGTATTACTGGCAAGCGAAGCCTTAAATTAGAGTGAATAAATGAAGACTCGGCACACCACTTCTGAAAGGTTGCCGATCCCTGCAAGAGAGTCTACCAATGGCTAACAGGCAAACCCTATTAAGTTTACGTTTTAGCAGGCAGTGTAAATGCAGTCATCATGGTTACAGTAAACAGAATCTAAAGGTTTTGAGCTGTAGGTTCAACCCAGTAAGGCACTTAAGCACGTCGTAACTTTAAGTGCATGAGCAGTGCCGTTGATTTCAATAGGGCAATTCACGTGCTTAAAGTTAAGCATGCACGTCAGCACTTTGTTGGATCAGGGCCTTAGTTCTGATCATCGCAATTTCTTCTCTGTGGGGTTTCACCCATCTGGAGAAGGACAAAGGGATTGAGGAAAGTTCTGTTTGCCAAAGGCAGCTCTCCTCACCTGGAAGATTCCTGGGCCACATTTTATACTGGATGGGCCATGTGGGTGTCCGGTGTGACTGCTGTGAAACCAGCGAGATACGTTTGGCCCTGTGATGAATGCTCAAATATAATGGAGTTCCTACAGAACTACATTTGATTTCACCCAGACAACTCCCCCGGACAGCTTAGCACAACTGATGTTATTCCAGTGGAAGCTGTGAGGATCTGCCACTTTCATAACATTCAGGTGAACTAATGCTATGTTAGCAGCACTTTGCTATGCTTACCTCCAGTACCAGCGGGTGTTGGCTTTTGGTTTCCTGGGCATGATCATGCGAGGCCTGGGAACCACAGGGCAAGCCCAGGATCAAGGCAAAGCTGAGTCTCTATGGTAAATTCCCATTTATTACCAGGTGGAGCTGCACGGCAAACTTTTAACCCACTTGCTTGTTTTACACCCATAGCTTCAAGGAAATAATATCAAGGCCTAGAACTTATATAGCACGTTTCCTCTATAGCAGTGTTTTTCAAACCATGGATTGTGCCCCAATCCCCTGCCCCAGCCCTGAGCCCCCC